GTGTGTGTGTGTGTGTGTGTGTGTGTGTGTGTGTGTGTGTGTGTGTGTGAGAGAGAGAGAGAGAGAGAGAGAGAGAGAGAGAGAGGGGGGGGTGTTATGTAGCCCAACTGGACCTCAAAGTCACCAAGCTGTTTCAAATTCACCATCCTGTCTATGATCTAAAGTGTTGGTATCAAAGGTGTGTGTGTCCACACCTAGCCTTACTTTGGATTTTTATTTCCATTATAAGATAGGCAGTTGCCATCTTTAAAAGATATAAAAGAGATTGTTTAAATTTGAGATTGTATAAAATTCTCTTAAATACTGCAAATGATCCCTAATGAGGAAGAATGGGGTTGTGTGCAGGGTGAGTATCTGCAGGACTGAGATAATGTTCTTTGTTTCCCAAAGGCACCATGGCTGAGGAAATAGCCCCAGCAGTTCTTGAACGACACCAGGGGTCCTTGTACTCCCTCTTTCCTGATCACAATGTGAAGAAATACTTTGACCAAGTGGACATCTCTAATGGTTTGGATTGGTCCCTGGACCATAAAATTTTCTACTATATTGACAGCCTGTCCTACTCTGTGGATGCCTTTGACTATGACCTGCAAACAGGACAGATCGGTATAAACATTTTTATTATTTTTTACAATATCACTCATATCATTTTGTATGTTAATGAGCAGTGAGGGATCTTTCCCAAAGCCCATGTGAAAAAGTCTTTATTTGACAAGTAGAAAACTTCAAAATAATGGTGACACAGACAGTCAAACTGTGGTCCTCAGCACATCTGAACTCTGGTATTTGGGACTAAGGCTACAGCTGGTCTACTGCAGCTAGGCCTGTACGTTTTCTTTCCACAAATGGAAAGGCCTTCCTGGAGAATGAATCTTACCCTATCAGACAGTGCCTAGAGACACACAATATACAACAGAATGTGATAAAGGGGGAAAACTGAACATTTTGGTTCCTGATTCTTATTTGATCTTTAGTTAACCATAGGCAAGTATTCAGAGGCAAATGAACAACCTTTGAAATGGAAAAATAACAGGAAAGTGCTTCCAGGTTGGTTCAGCTCCATCAGTGTTCTGTAAAATGAGCCATCACTGGAAACTTCTAGGGAAGAAATCATTTAGAAGAATTTAGAAGGGAGACCTTGAAACTGTTTGATGAAAAGTGCCAGACAGGAAGAGCAAAACCAATCATAAAAAATGACTTGAAAAAAAGTCACAAGGCTTTATGTAGATTTAATCAAGGGCAAAATATTCCAGGACAGATGCTTTTCTTTGAAGTATGTAGTGCTCTTTTTTATGACTATTCTTACCCAATTTCCTTACACATGGTTTTAACATTTTTCCATTATACCTCATTCTGATTGCTGGAATGACCTGAATTTTGTAGCTGGCTGTTCTTCTGCATTGTTTTTTGAGGTTCTGGGAATCAAGCTAATTTCTTTGTGTGTGCACTAAGGTGCAATTCCAGCCCTCCTCTACTTTTCAGTGTTCATTGTTTATATACTATGGATCTCCTTTAAGCAGCCTATGGACTTTAGAATGTCCCTTTTAAGAAGTAAGCTCTTTAGATATTGTTTCTTGATTTTGTAGCAAGAAAGGAAAAATAATTCTTGTCTGCCCAGGTTTTATGCATGCATTATTCACATGGTACCATTAAGCTGCCGTATAGATCTTCGGCTTGGTCAAAGTAGGGATTTTGGTAACTAAGATAGTGATTTAACCACAGACTGAAGAATGTCTGAGAGAGGCTTGCAAAGCCTTAGTTTAGGTCAGTCTCAGACAGCTACCTATTGATACTTTATTAAGAATTCTGAAATGATATGGTGACTGATCCTTCAAGACTAATCCTAGCACTCGGAAGTCTGAGGCAAGAAGATGATTTTAAGACTCCAAAGATAGATTGAGCTACACAATGAATTCTAGGCCAGCCTTAGATATAAAATGAGACCTGGCCTCTAAATAAATAAATAATTCAGCTTGATTGGGCTTAGTGGTAGAGCACTTGTCTAGCATACACAAGGCTATGAATTCTATCTCCAGAAGTGAAAAAGAAAAGAAAAAAAAACATTTCCTTTTCTCTGAAATCTTAGAAATCTTAGACAGATACATCTTTATAAAGACAAAAGGGAGTGAATCTATCCCAAATCGTGTGGTAAAAATCCTTTGTTCAAACGCCAGCCCCTAGACAAGCATAAGTGACCAGTATTTATAACCAGCTTGAGAGTTCACTGTCTACTTGTGAGTGGTGTATGACCCATTGTTTTGTCGTGTTTTGGTTTTGGTTTTCAATTGCAGCCAACCGCAGAATTGTTTACAAGATGGAGAAAGATGAACAAATCCCAGATGGAATGTGCATTGATGCTGAAGGAAAGCTCTGGGTGGCCTGTTACAATGGGGGAAGAGTAATTCGCCTCGATCCTGAGACAGGTAGGCTAGAGACAAAATAGAAAATCCCACCCAGTCTAGAAAACCCAGTCCAATGCTAAAGACCATTAGCAATCCAGTTAGAGTTATCTTAGTGGTCTTTATAAAACTGGGTGATTTTGGAAATAAAGGCAAAATATACAACCCCAAATTTATAGTCAGAACTTCTTTTCCTGTGGAAGTAAGTCTCTCTGCTAAAAGTTAATTGTCAGAGAAGGTAAGTTAAATACATGGATGGGAGCCAGGTAATATGGTAGCTTATAAACCTAGAAGTCAGGAGACTAAAACAAGAGGATGGTGAGTTTGAGGCAGCCAAGATATGTGGGTGTTCAGAGTAAAACCTACATTCACCCTTTCCAAGGGATGAATTCTGACCTACATAGGCTCTTAGACCATCCCTGTCATTCATAAAAAGTCCAGAAGCATTGTGCATGTTGCAAATTTCTAGAACTAAATTTTAAATGAAATATTTGATGACCTAGGGAAAAGACTCCAAACTGTAAAGTTGCCTGTTGATAAAACAACTTCATGCTGCTTCGGAGGAAAGGATTACTCTGAAATGTATGTAACCTGTGCAAGGGACGGGATGGATGCTGAAGGCCTTTTGAGGCAGCCTGATGCTGGTGGCATTTTCAAGGTGATGTGGTCTTTGGGGGTGGTGAGGGTATTCTGTTAAATAATTGATCGATGCTTCTGCAGACTTCCCAAACAAACATGTGATTGGCATGTTACACTAGTCACACTAGACTTAATTATTTTGATTTTCTAGACTATAAGTTACATAAAGTTCAGGATGATGTGTCTGGCCTACTTCTAGTATTTTAAAGTTTTTTCATGCTTCAATAGTATTTGTAAGATCATCAGATTGCTTTGATGTCCTAAAAAGTTGTGCAGGTGTTTAGTCATTTTTTTGTGACAGAACAAACACTGATTTAAAACACATTCTGGGTTTGAAAACACATGTGGAAACACCTCTAATCTCAGCACTTGGGAAACTGAAGCATAAAGATGGTGAACTTAAGTCAGCTTGGGCTATATAATACAATGCTTTCTTTAAAAAAAAATAACATAGAGGAGCAGGAAAGATCGCTCAGTAATTAAGAGCACTGTCTGCTCTTCCAGAGAATTCCCAGCACCCACATAGAAGCTCACTAATGTCTGGAACTCCAGTTCCAGGGGATCTGACACCCTCACACGGATATACATGCAGCAAAAACACTAATGCACATGAAATGAAAAAAAATAGAAACACCTTTCTTGACAGGTGAGAAAATGATAGAACTAAATTGTTCTACATCACTGTGCATGCTTGCTCAGTAAACTAGAATATATGTGAATGACTGCTTGATCCATATAATTCCTAGTCAGCTAGTTCTTTTTCATGATAGAAAATAAAACAGGGATTATTAAAGGTAGCTAGATATGTTATTATTTTTTAGATTTATTTATTATGTATATAGTGTTCTGCCTGCATGCCAGAAGAGGGCACCAAATCTCATTACAGATGGTTGTGAGCCACCATGAGGTTGCTGGGAATTGAACTCAGGACCCCTGAGCCCTCTTTCCAGCCCCTAGACATATTATTATAAATCTTAACTTGCTTGGTGTTTGTGAGGGACAAGCTCTCACTATATAGCTCAGGCTGGCCTTACACTTACAGCTGTTCTACTGCCTCAGCCTCCAAAGTGCTGGGATCACAGGTATGAGCCGGCTTTGTAACAATGGCTTTGAAGACTATTTATAATTCATCAGTTTCACTCTTTTTTTCCCAACAGATAACTGGTCTTGGGGTCAAAGGAATTGCCCCATATTCCTATGCAGGGTGAACAACAGCTATTCCTTGCTGTCAGAAGAAAAGCTTTGAAGACAACTGGAGAATTAAGGGACTTAAATCAATGAAATTTAAATCTAGGGTTTTTTTTTTTTAATGAGGCAATGATATTATAGCAGGGTTAAGCTTTAATTTATAATTTTGGCTGGGTGCTGGGAAATAAACCTAGTGTGTGGCATATTAATTAAGAACATATACTTAACAATGAACTACATCCCTAGTCTTTTTTTAAGGTAGATATTTTCACAGAGAATAAGTGACTTTGATAGCACACTCTAGGCCTTCTACTAAAAAACAATCCTGTAGAAATGCAAAAGGTCATTCAACTATGAATCAGCCTGATGACTGTAAATTGCTCTGGGGTTAAAATGGGACTGTATCCACTGTTTTTCTGCATCCCATACTTGCTGTCCCCAAAGCTTAAAAAAATTAGTGCATAGAAACTTGGTGATGATTTATAATGATTATATGACTCTTCCTGTGTGTTATTTTACAAACTAAAATACTGTCAGAAGAGATTCAAACACCATGGCACAAGCTGTGGTTCTAACTGCCACCTACTGAATATAAAAATAAGTATATCACATTGCAAGGAATTTACTTTTTTTCCCATTTATTTATTCATCGTGTGTGTGTGTGTGTGTGTGTGTGTGTGTGTGTGTGTGTGTATGTGTGTGTGTGTCCGTGAGCACACAGATTGGTCAGAGAACAACTTATGGGACTCAGTTATTTCCTTCTACCATGTGGTTTCAAGGAACTGAACTCAGGTGTCACCGTTATTGGCTGAACCATCTCACTGACTACTGCTGCTGCTTCCTCTTCCTCCTCCTCCTTTTTAAAATATTTATTTATGTATTTTATGTATATGACTGCTCTATTTGCATGAATGCCTGCATGACAAAAGAGGGCATCAGACAGAAGAGGTCATTAGATCCCATTATAGATGGTTGTGATCCTCCATGTAGTTGCTGGGAATTAAACTCAGGACCTCTAGAAGGGCAGCCAGTGCTCTTAACCACTGAGTCATTTCTCCATTCTCCTCCTTTTTTGAGATGAGATCTCGTTCATGTAGCTCAGGCTGATTTTGAACTTGCTATGTAGGTAAAGCTGGCTTTGAACTCCCGATCCTCCTGCCTACATCTCCCAGGTGACTAGGATTACAGATGTATGCCACCACACTTGGCTTGGAAAAATTTTTAAATAATATTGTTGAGCTATAATTAGCCTGATCATATTTAAAGTATATAAAATTATTATATATTCCATCTATATTCATATCAACCACATAAACAAAATAATGAATCTGTTCACTACCCTCAAAAGTTTACTTGTATCCCACTGTCATCCTTTCTTTTTGCCCTTCAGCATGCTTGTACCCCATCCCCAGATCACTGATCTTCTTTCTGTCCCTTTAAATTGCCCTTCAAAATGGGTAGTGCCAGGCTAAGGATATAGCTCAGTGGTAAAGGGCTTGCCCACCATGCATAAGGCTCTGGGTTCAGTCCCCAGTAACACACACACACACGACTGGGGAGTGTGATTTCTCCAAATGTATTCTGTCTTGTTTAAGTTTTTGCTTTGTTTTGTTTCTTTTCTGAGACAAAATATCACTCTGTCGCTGTCCTTCTGTCTCAGCCTCTGCAGTAATAGGATTACAGACATGAGCCACCAGCCACCAGCTTCCAACTTCATCTACCAGCTTCCAACTGCAGAATAGTTTTAGTTGTGTTAGTTTGGTCTTCAGTAATATTTAATTTTACTCATATTTGGGTTCTTGGGATTGAACTTAGACACATGTTAAACATATGCTCTAGCACTGAAATAAATGTACACCAGCCCATGTATAAATTCTTAAACCACCTGGAATACAGCATGCTCCAATGTTAACTGGTATTCCTTTCAAAATTGTTGAATAATTTGAGAGAATTGGCTCCCATATTGTGACTTTTTGTTGCTGTGACAAAATACCTTACAAAAAGCAACTTAACATTTCCTTTGACTCAGAGTTTTCAGGTACAGTTCATTATGGAGGGGAAGGCGTGGCAGGAGGGGAACTTGGCTGGGGAAGCAGGAGTGTGAGGCATATTGCACCTGCTTTCTGGAACCTGAAAAGGAAGAATTCTGGTGCTTTCCTCAGTTTCTACTTTTTTTTTCTTTTTCTTTTTTAATTTATTATTATGTGTAGAGTTCTGCCTGCATGTATGCCTGCAGGCCAGAAGAGGGCGCCAGATATCACTACAGATGGTTGTGAGCCACCATGTGTTTTCTTGGAATTGAACTCAGGACCTCTGGAAGAGCAGCCAGTGCTCTTGACCTCTGAGCCATCTCTCCAGCCCCAGTTTCTACTTTTTGTCCAGTCTAGGACCCCAGACCATGGAAGCGTTCTACCTACATTCATGGTGGGTTTTCAACCTTCAGTGGGAAACGCCCTCATACCCACTCCCAGAGGTGTATTTCCTAGGTTATTCTAAGTTCTGTCAAGTTGACAATAGACTAAACATCCCAGCATCGTTACACTTTCCAGTGCTCAGAGAGTTTTGGTCTTTGGCACTGATTTTAGAACATGGCATGTCTCACTAATTATTCATAGATTTGAGCACACAGAGCTTGCTTGTGTCTGGAAGAGTTTGTATATAATTATTGTTACTTATTTTTTGTAAATATTTGACAAAATTAACCAGTGAAACAGTTTGAACCCAGAGTTGTGTTAAGATAGGGTCTAGCAGCCGGGCAGTGGTGGTGCATGCCTTTAATCCCAGCACTCGGGAGGCAGAGGCTGGCGGATCTCTGTGAGTTCAAGGCCAGCCTGGGCTACAGAGTGAGTTCTAGGAAAAGATAGGGTCTAGCTATTTTGTCCAGACTGGCCTAAGTCATCACAGCTCAAGGGCTCCTCCTGTTTCAGCACCTGTTCTCATGCTGTGCTTGTGTTTTCAGTTTTCTTCCATTCTAAATAGTTTTCATTTTCTCTTTGTCAAATAGATTATATTTTATTTTTATTTTATGGTTTTTTTTTTCATGCATGTATGTCTATAATTGAATGCCTGGTGTCTGCAGAGGCCAGAAGAGAATGTCACGTGCCCTGGAATTCAAGTTACCGATGGTTGTGAGGGAAATATAGCTGCCAGGGCCTGGATCCAAGTCGTCTGGAAGGCTATCCAGTGCACTTAACCACAGAGCCATCTCTCCAGCCCATTTTAAAAATTGTATCACATTTTGATTCGTTAACTGTGTGTGTGAGTGCACACATGCATATGCCACAGTGCACTTGTGGAGATCAGAGAACAAGTTCCAGAGGTTTGTTCTCTTTTTCCACCATGTGGGTCCCAGGGATCAAACTCAGGTTGTTAGGCTTGCTGGCAAGGAAAGCTGAGCCATCTTGCCAGCCCTAGAATATGTTGTTTAATTTCCAAATGCTCAGAGAGTTTACTGTTGTGGTCTTTGGCATTGATTTTAGGTTTAATACTCTAGAGAACACACTTTCTATGATTTTAACTCTTCGAAATTTATTGAAGTTGAATTTATGAGCCAGGTTATAGACTATCTCACTGATCAATATGCATTTGAGAAAAATGTGTTCTGTTTGGGGCAGAATGTTCTCTAAATGTCCATTAGATTTAGGAGGTTCTTCTATGTCCTTTCTCTCTCTCTCTCTCTCTCTCTCTCTCTCTCTCTCTCTCTCTCTCTCTGTGTGTGTGTGTGTTCATGTGCGCGCACTGACATTTCATGCATGCCTAGTGCCTGTGGAGGCCAGAAGAGAGCATTGGCTACCGCAGTTGTGAGCTGCCACGTGGGTTCTGGGCATCAAATCCCAGTCCTTGGGAAGAGAAGCCAGTGCTCTTCATCACTGAGCCATCTCTCCAATCTTGTATAATTTTTAATGAGTGCTTTATGGACTTTAAATTATAGAGTTAATGTTTCTTTTTTGGTTTTGTTTTGTTTTGAGAGAAGGTCTCAGTGTATAGCTCTGGCTGGTCTGGAACTTAATGTGTAGATCAGGCTAGGCTGGCTTCAAACTCACAAAGATCCACCTGCCTCTGCCTCCTGAGTGCTGGGATTAAAGATGTGCACCATGAATCAGACAGAGTCTTGCTAGGTATCCCAGGTAGGCATCAAACTCAAGAGCCCCCAGCTTCAGTCTCCCAAGTTCTGGGATTATAGGTGTACTTCACCGCATCTGCCTCAAATAATGTCTATTTTGAAATTCTGGGCATGGAAACCAAGTCTTTGAGCATGCTAAATAAGTGTTCTAGTACTGAGCTATACTCTTCAACCCATTGTAATATTTCTCCTCAGAATTTTCATGATTGCCTTTTCTTTTT